ATTACAGCAACATGTAGGCAAAGAGTGGCAACCTTTAGCATTCTTCTCAAAACGTTTACAACCGGCTGAGTCTCGTTATAGCACATTCGGCCGCGAACTCCTAGCCGTCTACCTAGCTATCCGTCATTTCCGTCACATGCTAGAAGGTCGCCACTTCACCGTCTTCACAGACCATAAACCACTAATCTTCGCAGCACGCGCGAACTCAGACAGATACTCTCCTAGAGAGTCCCGCCACTTAGATTATGTCACCCAGTTCACTGAGGACATAAGACACATCTTAGGGGCGCTCAAACCCGTCGCCGATGCACTCTCACGCATCCACCTCATCTCCTCAGACACCGTCGACCTTGGACAACTCGTTGCTTTACAAATAGCCGACTCGGAAATGGAACTTCTTAAAAGTAATAGTTCCTTTCAACCCCAAAAGATACCACTAAGTACGCCCTAGGGCACCATACTCTGCGACGTGTCCACGGGCACGCCCCGCCCCGTAGTGCCACATACGTACAGAAAACATGTTTTCACCGCCTTGCACAACTTAGCTCATCCAGGAATACGAGCTTCCGTTAAGCTCATAGCAGAACGTTTCGTTTGGCCTAAGATGAACCGCGATGTAGCTACTTGGGCACGTTCCTGTTTAGAGTGTCAACGTTGTAAGATCTTACGTCACACCAAGACTCCGTTGGGCACCTTCGATACTCCGACCGCCCGTTTCCAGCACATCCACGTCGATTTAGTAGGCCCACTACCGCCGTCAAGAGGTTTCACATACCTACTGACTTGCGTTGATCGTTTCTCCCATTGGCCAGAGGCAGTCCCAATTCCTAATTGCTCATCCGAAACGACCGCACAGGCATTTTTATAGCGTTGGGTGGCAACGTACGGCTGCCCGGTGACCGTCACCACCGACAGAGGTTCGCATTTCGAAGGGTCATTTAAAGCTCTCCTCACTATGTTAGGGTGCAAACACGCTCGCACAACCGCATATCATCCAGCGGCCAACGGCCTGGTTGAGCGTTTTCATAGACAACTCAAAGCAGCCATCAAGGCTCATCACGGTTCAGAATGGCATGAGGCTCTTCCACTTGTCCTGTTGGGCATTCGGAATACGATAAAAGCCGACTTGCACACTACACCGGCCGCACTAGCCCTCGGCTGCACGTTACGTCTACCGGGTGAATTCGTTTCACCCAAGCCCCACCGTAATTTTAACTACTCAGATTTTGCACAACGACTCGCGCAACACATGCGTGAGGTACACGCTGCTACCACACGGCAGCAAACAGTACCCGTTTACGTACCGAAGGATCTTACGCGTTGCACGCACGTTTTTCTTCGCGTAGATAGCATCCGCACACCTCTGCAGGCACCATACACCGGTCCGCATAAGATAATCATGCGGAAAGACAAGTACGCCATAATTGAAGTCAACGGCAAAAAGGAGTCCGTCAGTTTAGACCGACTAAAACCGGCGTTTTTAGAAACTGACACCANCGCACTAGTCCTCGGCTGCACGTTACGTCCACCGGGTGAATTCATTTCAGCCAAGCTCCACCGTAAGTTTAGCTGCTCAGATTTTGCACGACTCGCGCATCATATGCTGCTACCACACGGCAGCAAACGGTACCCGTTTACGTACCGAAGGATCT